TCCTCCTTCTTGGAAACAATATGCAGCCATCTTTAAAATGGCTGTGAACAGTATCACAAAAATTCTTCAGACCCGCTCCTCCTTTCTTATTCTCAATTATTCTAGACGCAACTGACATATTTACATCAGTTTCTTAATATCTCATGGTTATGAATCCCTTGGTGTTAAGAGCTCACATCATCTTCCACCTTCTTTCTAAAATATTACCAGAAATTAGGAGGGGTTTGGTTTTAAAAAATTAGATCCTTGAGATATTTTCTTCTGATTCTTCTAAAGAAAGCTTAGAATGGCCTTTCAGCTTAAGTCCCAGGATAAGGCAAAAGTTCTTGTTCTACAACCTTTATTTTGTGAGGAACTACAGTAACATTTTATATTCGTTTCAGAAATGGGCTGAGGACTTTGACAAGATCACTACTTCCAGCTTCTGTATTGTCATCTTAAGTTATATTGCTTTCCATTAAATTGTTCATTATTAGAAGATTCATATCAGACAGCTTAGTACCTGAAATCGTCCAATACAAATTCAGTTTTTATGGGCTCCAAGTCTGAAATTTGTTTCCAAATAAGAATCAAAACAGTAATAAAGCAATTCCTACAAGTTATACTACTGTAACTTAAATGCAGTAGTAAAATTAAGCACAATGGCCTCACGCGCTCAAGTTTCTTTTTTTTGAGCATGAATTTAAATTACTAGCTTTACCCTGATCTTAGCAGGTACACAAACATGCTTTTCCGTTCACATTTGGAAAAAAAAAAAGAGACTAATTAGTATCGATAGACAAATTTGAAATGTACTGTTAGGTAAGTCATTTTTCACCAGAACACATTTATAGCCACCTTGAAGGTGCTTAGAAGAAGAGAGTATTTTGCTGTACTAGTCAAACACATGTTAGTCTCTACTTGTTATGTATGAACTACTTCGTTGCTAATACTATGGTTCATCAAAAAGGGAGTAATATATCAAAATAGTTTACTTCTCATCTTGTCCGTTTTCTACAGGAAAGCCATCATTATTTCATCCTAATTTATTGTAACTGCAGAACTGGACCTTACAGAAGGCAATTGGTGGCAATTTGGCAAGGCAAACTGCTATATCTAGCCAAATAACAGCTTTACAGTACGTTCAGAATTTCTGAATAAAGCAAAAAAGTATGTTTATTACGGAGAACAGCAGTAGAAAATTCTTGCCTTTACAAAAAAATGGCACTAAACATTCTAGTGCTTCTCCTGACCGTTACGTATGCAGCAATTTAACCAGCAGTGAATGTATTCTTCAAGTTTTCCTACAAATAAAAGAATAATAAAACTTAAGCTAGGAGGATGACGGAGTTCTTGCCACTGAACTTGCTTATAGACAGTCTACTGTAACTTCTTGTGCCTTGATTCAAATATAGAAGTTTACTGACTTATTCAATATAAATTAACACAGTGGGCTAAATTGTTGCTTTAAATCTGCTACCAGTCTGCTGCCCAGTGGTATTCCAGATAGAGTGATACAAGGGAAAATACAGGTCCAATAAGGCAGCCAGATCAAAAGCAACTTATTCAGAAGAGACAGACTGCTTCACATTTCTGATTATTTTGCCCTTTCTCATTTGATGACACCTTACCTTTATAGAATACAGAATGGCCACTTGTTTCTCAGTTGTATGATCTCTTCAGGGTTATATAAATTTTGTATCATTTCAGTAGAAATATAATCAGCGTTGGCACTGTTGAGGCTTGGTATCATGATGTATACCTTGGGATGGTAGAACTGGTTAGATTTTTTTAAACCATGTTCTCCCCTGAACATTTAAGTGATCTTATCTTCCCCTTCTAAGACTACATTTAAAAAAAAAAACAAAAAAACAAACCACACAGAACTGAGCATACAAAAAAAAAACCCCACACCCCAAACCCCAAAACTTTTCCCATTCCACCAGAAATTTAACTCTTACATATGTTATTTATTCTAATAAAGGATCTTTATTTTTTTCCTATTCCTTCTCCTTTTCCCTACTTTTTTTTTTCTTTTTGCAGCTATGAACAGACCAAATAACTCAAACTTTTGAGAGCTGAGCAAAACACATTAATTTTCACTGCTGTTTAGCATAAGGATTAATTTGCCATTAGCACTCCCCTTAAATGCTTGCGTCTCATCTGCACAGTTCTCCATTCAGAAAAAGCTGCCTTTGCCATCTGAAGAGACAAAATACCAAGCGTAACCTTGTGCTGACATATGCAATTAGCCCAAGGTCAGCCAAGGACAGGGAAGCAGCAGAAAGTAACAACCCAGAGAAATTACATAAGCTAAGGGAAGGTGGACCTTTAACTACTCAAGGGTGACTTTTTTTTGATCATTCATTAAAAGTCTTGTTTCTGATGTACCTGCCTTCTTTAAACTTAAAAAGAGTCCATCCTTCCCAATTAAAAAGAAAAACAAAATTAATGAACTACCCATCTGTTACATCCCCCCAAGGACAAATACCACTTTCAGGGATCCCTCCAAACCTTGTGCTGAAGTGTGACGCACCCCAGTCATTAAATACTGATGAGGCGAGTTTCTTCATGGCCGAGATGCAGCACCTGGCCCTTTCAAGTGCCACTTCCAAACTAAACCACTTACATACTTCCTGAAGGTGCTCTGCAGATCACCAGCTGCCCACAAAGGCTCTAGCTACACAGGTTTGAATATGCGACCATTCCAATTTTAAAAAAAAATGTGCTCTAGTACTGGATACAGTGCTTTGAAAATTTCTCCGAGAACCTGACACATAGAGGAAAAAGACAGGAAAGCACCACATTGACAAAGCACTTCTGAAAAAAACAGAAATGCTAAGTGAATCAGCAGGATAGTGTGTTTCATTAAACTTCACCCAAGCGGATTTTCTGTCGTTAAACGCTTCTAACAGAACTCTAGCACTGAGGTGAATCTCCTAATCTGGTCAAGCCGACAGAGGAATTTTGTGCCAAAATTACTAGGTTAGGATATTGTGTGATTAGTTTAAGGACCCAACTTCTGCCTACCTTTTCGGCATTTAGTAAAAAAAAAAAAAAAAAAAAAAAAAAAAAGCTCTCCTAAAATAAGCCTGTCCAGAGATGTGTCAGTGTTCATGCGGAAGTTAAATCTAAGTTAAATGGGTCCTTTCAAGAACTCCAACTGTCTAGGTAGGATTAGGCAACTAATCGCCCAGTTATCTGAACAAAATTATTAGAGTATACAAAACCCCTCCCTCACAGTAATGATAAACCCATAAATTGACCAATGCTTAGAAACAACACTTTGATGATTCTGTGAAAAAGTTCAGAGGGTTAAACTTCCCGTGACCGTAGTGTCTAAATTAACACAGACTTTCAACAGCGTCCATCAGAAAGCAAATCAGAAGTATTGTGCAGAAATACTAAGTACCTGTCGGTGAGTAACAATGTGGACTTTCTTTCTCATTAGGCTACAAGTTTTGTTACAGCCTTCTGCCTTCCCTCACCAAAAGCAGAGACTTAGTTTAAATTTTCTTCCAAAACTTAAGTTCACGATGCAGAGAACTGCCACTTCTTACTTGGCTGTAGCAAGCCTATCACTATAGCAGCAGTGGTATTTATCTCAGTGCAGGTCTTAACTACTCTTCTAGTTAGCATACAGGGTTTTGGTAATCAATCTTCAATTTTTAAGTATAGAGAGGCTTGGCTTCTTTTCTGTTTTAATTAAAAAAGGCAACTGGAGATTTCTTCCCAAAGAATAAACAGAACGCTAGGTCAGGCAACAGTCATTTATTTATTGACTTGAACAAGCAAAAGGTATCCTCAGACATAATGGCCACCACTTGAGCAATACAAATCAATGCTACTGGAGAACAGGGAACATCTTTTCTCTCACCCCTCCCATCCCAGAAGTAACAATAGAAATACCAGGGCCCCTAGAGAAAAGAGAAGGAGAAAAATTATAAAAGACGCTTAGAATGACCTGCAGAGTTGAAACATGGAAACTTAAAAAAAAAAAGCATTAGCTAATCCACCTTATCACCACAATCACCTCAAAAATAACTTTCATTGTTCCATTTTTACCGGGTACCAAATATATAGCGCTGTTTAACAGCGATTTCAACGTATTAACAACTGTCCTCAGCTGAAGCAGAACAGCAATTACTATTTATATTAAATTTGAGGCTGCAGATAGAAAGAAAGGTTTCCACAGAATACGATGCAAGTTAATGAAAAGAGAGTGGGGGAGAAACAAAGTTACTTTTAAGTTACTGTACGTCTCTATCAATCAAGTAATTCATTCTGTGTTGATAGCAGAAACAATCTTCTGATAGAGTATGGCAGCTCTACTCACCCTGTGACAGAATATCTGAAGAACATATCTATGAAGAATGTATAACTCCCTTAAGTTGTGGGCCACTGAAAATCCCAGCCTGCTACTCCTGTGTGGGTATTTTTTTAATCGGACATCAGCAAAAAAAGCAGACTGCATGCAAAACAATCGTTGCTAAATCATTTAGTCTTCCTTGTAACAGTTGAAAATATGAGTAAGGCATTCCTCAGATTTAGAGAAAACATTAGGAGGCTGTAGTTTTGCAGGCAAGGAGACCTTTTATTTTAATCCATTAAAAGAACCCAAAATAGTCAGCAGGTGGCCACATCTATCCATGTTTCATTAAAATCACATAAACCCTAAGTACAAAAGCACCACTGATTATTGCTCTAGAAAAACTGCATGAAAAATTCAAATACGCACAGTAAAAACATCACCATATGCACAAGACTTAATTTCTTAAAGCAAGTGTATGGAATGCTGATCCAATTTTACACATACCTTGCAATATTAAGTTGATATTTATATTACTTGGCAACAATGGGAATTTCTAAAAGCACTGTTATGAGAAGGGAAATGTTCATATACAGTTTAATATGTCAACTATCATAGTCCTAAAAAAATTAGCATTTACAAAATACTTGATAAAAATATCCTTTAAAAGTTGTCCAAGAGGTACATAAAATCAACCCAAAATTTTCATATTTCATTCATTCTTGTCACCTACAGATTCAGTTTTCTGAGCCTGTGGAGAAGAAAGAAAGAAATTAATTACTATAGTAAATTGCCATTACATACCTAAATACCCAAGCTACCCTTCCTCCTTCGATTTCTTATTTGCAACAGCTCAGTTTCAAACCTATGTCCATATTACATTTACACAAACGGAACAGGTACATTCACACACTTCTCTTAAATTATTGGTCCCAGCTTTTCAAAAGCCACGCAAGCCTTACCTGTCAGCTTCCATTGTTCATACTGAAAAGCACCACACTACTATCTGTTCCTATTCACTGCACACATGCTGAATGCTCTACCGTACCCTCAACTTTCACTGTTTCAATCTGCCCTTTTACTGACAGTGTGCTGGGTGGGGCACCTCTGGATGTTGAAACACTAACAGTTGAGCGAGAGATGCGAATCTGCAATAACATTATGGGCAATAAAAAGAAACATTATGAACATGCTATCAATGTCTGAAAGGCTGAATAATTAAAAAAACACTGATTCAATCAGCAGGAGGTATGTGTGGAAAGTACCTCTTCAGCTTTATTTTCACCATTTTCAGATGGTGTAGTACCTTCCTTTGCAGCTTCTTGCTTTTCATCCTTCTTCCCTTTAGCACCTTTGTTGGCCTTTGTCCCAGGTTCCTTCTGGCAGAAGATGAAAAACAGGGGCATAGACATTGTATGAGTAGCCAGCACCCTACATCTTTATCAAAAAACCTTTGTATGAACTAAACAGCGAATCCTGGCAAGCTGCATGTGCTGGACTGAAACAGAAAACCAGCTAAAGACTACCCGGAAAATTTATATCCACAGAAGTTATATAGAGACTCTCAAAATTTCTAGAAAAAAACACGGATGTTTGCTTCTTTATTGTTTCTGCTAATTTACAGGGATACAAAAACCCCTCAAACTATTTTAGTAGAGCTGAGCTGTACATACAGAGGTATATACAAGATACCTGTACGAACAAATCCAATTACAGTGTATTGAAAGCTTATTCAGCCAAGCACAAACAACACACTGCTTGTGTAACAGCACTACACTCTCGATTAACATGAAATATTAAATTAGATTTTAAAAATTAAGCATTTTTGTTGGCTGGCCTTTTGTTAGTTTGATAACATCTGTGATGTTCGTTCCATGTCAATGAAAGAACCAACAAACACGCTAGGGAGGCAAACACTGATAAAATTCCATCCGCAGCAACACAAAGCAGAGAATTTATCAAAAGGAACTATTCTAATAGCTACGGTTTCATTTGGAGATTTGCTCTTAAACAAACAATTCATATGTTGACACCTACTTTTTTTTAATCCTTACTCTATGTACATATTTATATTTGTGATCTAAGGCTAGTAGAGACATAGGTTAAGGATTTTAAGTGCAATGGGATAAAAATTTAAAGGGTATTTCATTGACTATTTTACATTAGTATTTAAAGTAGTTCTGATAAACACTGTGGAGATCTTCCATGTGATCATTTGCTCCAGATTCTCCACGCAAAATGGCAACAGTAGCTGCAAACCGGGATATTAAGGTCAGTCTCCGTTCATTAACTCCCTTTCCCCAGCAATCCCCATACAGGAGTGGGGTGGTAAGGAGAGATTAGCAGCAATCCTAGTTCCAGGGCAGCCTGAATTACTCCTTTCGCCCTTCAGCTTCCATGTTATCACCTGAGAAGCTTACTGGTGCTGTGAGTATAGTCCTAACTCTTCGCCTACGAAAGAACAAGCTAAAGACTTGACTTGGTCAATCGGTAATTTGCAAGCTTTTAACACTAAAAATTATCTCAAATCTGTACCATCTTCAGTGGTTTACTAGCAGGCTCAGAGTACACACTTGCTGTTTTCTGTTTAGGAGACCAAGATTAATATACTCCTTAAAATGAGATCCAGTTAGACTTTGGAAAAAAGCAGATTACAGTATCAAAAAGTTACTTAGAATAACGTTGTAAAGGATTCGAGTCACCTGAAATGAGCTTCAACTGTCTCTCACGCAGCTTAGACTGACTCCATAACACCGAGCTCATTTCACAACACGTGCACGAAGGTATAGAAGCTACCATATTGCCTTCTTTATTAATACTCTTTTTTAGAACGGAGCAAGGATGGACTCAGCAAGACTTTAATAGCAATTTCATTTGATAAATCATAAAGTGTTCAAAGTCATAGAGTTTTACTTTGACACACAGACTTTGTATACCGATACTTGCCCAACTGAGACACCAATAAAAGGACTTGAAAAATTAAGTGTGAGGAGTGCTAGACTCAGTTTCCAGCATGGTTTTTTTTCCGATAAAGGAATTGCTCTTATTTAACATTCCCCTTGGGCACAAATAAATCTACAGTTTCTGAAGTACATGATTTATATGCAGAAATCCTGAAAAGGTATTTCAGACACTAATAAGATTTTAATTTGACTGTAACTGGCCTAGAAAACCCAAACCATTCAATTTAAATATATTTAATTTCACCTTTAATTATAATTGTGCATTCTCAGCAACAGCCAGGCTTCAAGAACAGATAAGAGTTTCTCACTGTGAAATGAAGTACTGCCCCTCTAGACAAGGAAACAGGATGGCACAGAGTAATCTCAAATCCTACTGTAGAAATTGCTAGGTCTCAGGTAGAGCTTACGCAACCAAACCTGTATGTTTCAGGAAAGGTGTAGGAAAGGTAAAGATTCTTCTTAAACTAGGAATTCACTGCTAACATGGTCTGCATATCAAACAGGCAAGACATTTTGTTTGGGCCAGTAATGAGGCCAGGAAGGGGTGGAACAGAAAGAAAAGAATGATCTAATTTGGTTTTGTTTTTGGCTACAATGACAGCAACTAAAAAGAAGAGTATTTACCTTCGTGGTTTTCCTTGGTTTGGGTTCAGGTTTTGGTGGAGCAGGTTTCTATAAAACATTTTCAGTTGCATAATGTGTTAGACATATTACCAGAAGCCAGCCAGCCACCTCCACCCCACACCTTCCCTTGCTTCCTGCTCATTAGCATGCATCTAGAAAAAGACTGAAAAACCTTAAAGCACAAATGCACCTCATCGCTGTACACACCCATTTTCATTAGCTCACTCATCTAGGAGTCAAAGCAATTTGAGGGTCATTCTAAGAGTAAAATGTGGAGATCAGTAGTAACTATTAAAAAAAAAAAAAAGTCAGATGTGTTCTAACAGAGAAGAGGAACTAAAACCAAATACTAGTCGTGGCATCAAATTAAGTCCTTGAAGGACAGCTCTTTCTCCTTCCCAGAGAAGCAGTTGCAATTCCACAACTAACATCAGCCTGCAAAACAGTACGATGTCAATATTGCACATAACAGACAGTGTTGCACTGAGGTGGGGAAATACATCTTTTGTCAGAACAACCTGAAACCTGAAACCAAGAAAACACAGATAACTTTAGCTCTAGAGTTCTTAAATATCCCTCAGCAAGAATAAAAATTGAATCAAGCAAAATATAACAAACCTGTTTGGTCTGAGAAACCATATGTGCCTAGAAAAGTATATACCAAGAGGTGTTATACATACTTACAGCTGACAATCTTGCTGATCGTCTTGTGGGCTACAGGAAAACAAAAAAAAAAAAAAAAGGAGAAAACACTTTTACAGGCTTACAGCAAACAGTATCCAAAGCAACATAATATCAGTCATTTCATGGTGACAGCATAAAATATGCCCCTACCAAAATACGTCTCTATTGCTGAACACAATTCACATCTTCCTCATCTTGGACGATCAAAATTTTAAAGGGACAAAGCGATGTGAAGATTAGTAATAAAAATTGTTCGGGTATTATAATGTCTAAACCTCCATATGGTTAAATACTTCCCCCCCCCCCCCCCCCCCCCCTTCCCATTTTACAAGTACTTCTGAGTCCCTTGCAGCTCTATGAAAGGTTCACAAATACAGCAAGCTTGACACTTGCACAGGACACTGACCCTTTTCTCATAATCTTAGAATGAAGTTTCTATAATCCAGTAGATGCTACTTGTAATAGCGAGTAAAAATACCAACTTTATTCTGCTGTTAATCAGGTAACACCCTTCCCTAGAGGATATCAGAGTGCTAAAATTTCGAAACATGAAACTACATCCTTCCACTTCCTCAGTTCCCCACACACTCAAGCTGAGTCTGGGTGCACAAAGACAGATGCAGGATGAGAGGGAGAAATTATTTCTTCTATTTAAACACAATTCTCAAAAGGAAAGAAGAAAGTCATATATTCTGCTTTCCTCCACCTTTCTTTATCACTTCAACACAGCTTCCTTACTAAATTTTATTTCCCTCTGTTCTTTGTCATAAATTTATTACTGAAGATGAGTTAAGTCTTAGAAAAAGTTGTAAGCTCATTAGTTTGTTCACAATATTTTTGTATTCATTAAAGCAGATGAACCCATCATCCAGTTACACAGCATGGTTATCAAACAGAGTTAAAGTCTGGTCTATGTCATAAAATTAGAATCACACCTGTGGCCAAAATAAAGGGACAACTCAACTGCAACAAATACCCAATGTAACACAGCTTAAAAAGTGAATCAAAAATATCTTCTTAATTACATATTAAGCATTTCAGTTGAGCTGAAAAAACAAGGCTCCACATATCTTGCAACAGGAAAAAGCTGTTGTTAATATCTGAAGAATGCAGTAATTTGTATTCATTGGAGCCATTTAAATATTCTTAACGGAAAACAGTACTGAATAGTTCAGATGTGCGTCCAGCAAAATAGAAGTCTTGTCAAAGAACACCTAAAGATATTTTCAGCTATCAAATATTTATGCATCATTAACAACAACAAAAAAAAGTAAGCCTCTCTTTTCTTGGCAATTTAGAATATCAACTGCTTGTTAAGCAGCCGAGCACTATTTTACAATAGGTTAAATAAAGCATTTCACTTGGTCAGGTAATCAAAGAACTCCTAGCTCAAGGCATCTTCTTTTACAAATCTGTTTTCTTAACTGATGATTTCCATCCTTCAGCATTTGGGCACTGGAATGTTATGTTAGCATGCACTTTTTAAAGGATAATATGTTGGTTTAGATAAATTATAATTCTTTCCCATATTCCCCACCTGTTCCTGTTCCATGATTGGTTTCATAGGCAGCTTGTACTGCCATAAGACGTCAGCCTGATGGGTAAGTTATTTTTAATTCTCATTCAGAGTTTGTATGTATTGTGTGTTATCTGATTATACGGAGGGAACTGCAGTCAAGTCGGCAAAGGTCACATTTTAATGTGCTTTTGGAACCCTTGCCCCCCTCCAAACAGCTGTAGTCAGCCAGGAACTAGCAGCTTGCCCAACAATCTGATTGACACTGGCCCACTAGCAAACACCTACGGAAAGAGTCTACGAGACAGAGCAGACACAGAACAGCACTCTGCACTTTTCTACTGCGCCAGCTTCTGGCAATCTACAGTTGCAAACTTTCCAACCTGGATATTATATCCACATCATGTGTTTAACAGTTCCCAAGGGTCATTTTCTCCATAAATTTGTCTAATAACCTAGTGAACCCATTTACACTTTCAGCTTCCACAACATCCTGTGGCAATGAGTTCCATAATAGGATTATGTACTGTGTGGAAAAGAAAAAGCAAAACCTTCCCCCTCTGTTGTCTTTCCTTTAAACTTCTGGCCTCTAACTTTAACTAGATTCCTCTTCTTTTCAGGTTACATGAGTAACAATTCCCTAACTGCCTTTCTCTGTGTTACTGATGATTTTATCATACCTCCCATATAAAAAGTCAAGAATCCTAGAAAATCTAGGTTGTGGTTTGTTTAAAGCTGCTCTGAATCCTCTGTTTGTCCCACTATACTTGGTATCCTTTTCATTCTATCAGGGCCTTTTTAAGGAAGAGTCAGGAGAACTTCATTTAGTAGTCACACATCTGGGAGCACAACATTTGAATCTTGTGATACACTGATGTTTCACACTCTGTCCTCTAGTATTTTTTCCTATATTCTAGTTAACTTTTGTTTAGAAGAACTGGCATTTTCTAGTAACTATTGACTGTGATTTCACAATCTCTCCCCTGATTAACAGCTGATTTGGTGACCATCACTGTCTTCCCCTCCCCCCATGTATTAATTTGCATTTCTCCATATTGAATTTCTATTTATATTTTATCACCTAGTTATCAGTGACAGCCTTCTCAGTCTCTCTCACTTCTGACTACCCTGATAATTTTTTGTAAACTTCAGCAAACTTTGTAATTTCTCTAGTACCTCTTCTCCTAGATGATTAATGAATACATTCAGCAGCAGAAGCCCAAACACAAATCCTTCCAATACTTCACTGATAATTCTCTTGCATTATGAAAATTAACTACTTCTTCCCTACTCTCTTCTCATATCTTTATCTGTTACCAATTCTTAGAAAGATCTTTTCTTTAATCCATGCTATAGCTTAGTTTCTTTAAGAACCTGCTTGGGGAGCTTTATCAAAAAGTGTTCTTTACATGCAAGTAAACTGTATCAATTGACATGCTATCGTCCTTATACCCGTTGACTTCTACAAAGAACTCAACTGCCTGAAGTATGACTTCTCTCTGCAAAATCCGTGTCAAGTCTCCCATTATACATTTGTCCACATATACTTTTTTTTTTTTAAAACTACTTTTGCAAGTTAGACTCACAAGTTTTATTTTCCAGAATCCTTTATCTAAAGTCCTGGGAGCATTTCATCACCTTCAGTTCCTCTGGTACTGAGGCCAATGCAAGCAGTAAATTACGTACTGCACTTAACAGTTTGGCAATTGCTGGTGAATACTGTCTAGTTCTTGCTCACACTCAATTAGAGAATGTCCTCCAACCCTACGCTCATGAGAAAAAGCGCCACTGTGAGAACCTCCCTCAGAATTCTCCATAGCAGAAGTTTCATTACTGTTTTTCAGCTTCACGTTTGCCGTGCTGGGGAGTTTGCTCCTTTCCTCATTATTTTCCATCAATACAAAAAACACCTTTCAAAAATAATAAATTTTGAAAAACAACATGCATTTCTGCAAGCCTCTAGCATGGCGTACCACAAAGCCTCTCTGCCTCCTGAAACCATTAAACTTTTTAGCTGCTCCTTTTAATAGGTTCTCATTTTTAATAGAATTCCCTTTCTTGATATCAAATCTTAACATAGCGGAATTTATTTGCACTTGTATTCCTGCAAGGATGATGAACCTCCATGTACTATGGTCACAATTACAGAACAGTTCTCTGACAACTGTTTTTTTTATCCTTTTATTGGTCCTTTGATTTGTTCCTCCAGGATGCAAGCATTTACAGTTTTAACTTTTTTGCCTTTGTAATGCCATCCCGTGCCTTTTACCAAATCTCTGATGGGTAAGTGAAATCTCCATCAACACTATTTCTGTCCTCAGAGCCTCTCTGATCTCCCTTAACATCCCATTGCCACTTTTATTATTGTGGTCAGATGATACCTGGCACAATTTCTACACTCTATACTCCCCATTTACACATGGCCTGGCAATCCATAAAGGATTCTGCTGTAATTATTGATACAATTAATCTAGAGCAATATTAAAGACACGTAACAGAAAGCCATTCTACCACTAACGCAACTTAGCGCTCAACCCTGTATATTTGTGCCTTGGTATCACACTGTCCCAACAAGTTTGAGTTGCCCATTACATCAATGCCCTCATTTAAAGGCAGATAGTCCAAGCTGCCCAGATTTAGATTCGCAGCTTTTGCATTTTGGCTTGACTGCCTGTTTTCATCCGCATGAATTAAAGAGGGCTTTATTTCTCAAGACTGCTCTTTACCTTTTTAGATGCAAACTTCTGTCTTCTGTGCTAGCCCCCGCTCTCCGCCTGACAGGGAGCTCTGACTTTGCCCTATGTGCTCTCAAGAACTCGCCAGTCTCCCCTCAGATGTTTAGTTTAAAATAGTTCAGAAGATCTCAGTGCCATCCACATAGGTCTGTTTTGGTTCAGACTGAAGCCACCTTTCCTTCACAAGTCCTACCTATTCCAAAAATTCCCACAGTTTCTAATCTAATCCTACAACTATTTTCCTCATTCACACACTAAAAGCTACAGGTGTATCTATGGAGAGTATCTTAATTTGTTTGTTTGTTTTTGTTGGGGTTTTTTGTTTGTTTTTTTGGTTTGGTTTGGTTTTTTTTTTCCTGTAGCATCAACAGCCACTATTATCTCACCTTGACTGAAGACTACTCTAAGAGGTCTCACATGTCAGAGTCAGCAGGCTCTCTCCAGAGAGCCTGTGTATTTCTGTAAGCTTTTTGGTCTTTCTTCTTTATTCTAGCAAGTCTGAAACTTTTAGGGCAAGGAACTTTTACTTTTCTGGCTCTTGAAGAAATAATACTTAAACTTGGACAGAGAAAAACATTCACTCAGAGCAAAGGAGATTACATTTTTACTACAATTTAGTCAGCCTTTCCATACTTTATGAAAAAGAAAATAATTTGTCTTCTAGAAAATTCCATAGGAAGATACTGAAGTATCAAAACCTATTCCTCTCAGACCTTTTTATTCTACCTGTTTTTTCAGGAGCTTATTGTAAACTTTACTATTGTTTGAAATATTTTGACATTACCACTGTACCATTTTTTTTTCCCCAGACTGAGCAACAACAACTTCTCAATTCAGAAAGTGTAAAAATTCATTTGACTATTTTTCCTATTCGAATACGCTCAATGATTTACAAGAAGAGTAATTAATTGTTAATTTATTTGAATATTCACCCATTCTTTTCAAGGTCCTGATTTAACTTTGTCTGCCACAAAACATGACAACCTAAGAAAATGAATCCTCATAATTCTCTGCCTGTTTTTTAATTTCACATTAAGGGCTGTCACAAACAAACTAGCAAACTTTACTGTAAAGATCAAGGTATCACCAGCTGTCTCCTCACGTTCTCTGACAGAAGCTACTGTGCCCTTAAAACAAATTCAGACAAAGAAAACACACAAATGTGTCAGCTGCTCCAGTTCAGAGCCTGGTATCTTAATTCAAGACACCCTTCCATCAGTCACTTAAGCTAAGAATAGTTTTGAAGTAGACTGGCTGAGGTGTGCACATTAACCCTCTTCTGCCAACCCACTAGAGACAGAGCAACAGTTCCAGGCAGTACACTGTTGCCACAAGATCCACCAGAGCTTGTCTATAAAGGCCCTAAGTGTTTCTGAAATTTATTTTGTGTACTAATAAGTTGTATGAATCCTCAGTGCACCAAAACCAAATTATGCCAGATAAGCTACAAACGTGGTTTACTGTCATTATTCCCACTGAAAACACCTCACTAGAAGTGCCAGAGCAACGCACAGCCTTCTGATATGCAAGACTGCAGATCTCCAGTTAACTAATTACATGCCAAAATAAATTAAAAATAAAAAAAGAAATATACTTGCCTCTTGTTTAGTTACTTTTGCTGCATCCTTGCCTTCAGCACCCTCTGGAGACTGAAAGAAAATAAGAAGTCAGTGTTTTCATTACGGTGGATGAAAAACTGGACATGAGCCGGCAATGTGCCCTTGCAGCCCAGAAAGCCAACCGTATCCTGGGCTGCATCAAAAGAAGCGTGGCCAGCAGGTCGAGGGGGGTGATTCTGCCCCTCTGCTCTGCTCTGGTGAGACCCCACCTGGAGCACTGCATCCAGCTCTGGGGTCCTCAGCAGAGGAAAGACATGGACCTGTTGGAGCGGGTCCAGAGGAGGGCCACAAAAACAATCAGAGGGATGGAACAGCTCTCCTATGAGGAAAGGCTGAAGGAGCTGGGGTTGTTCAGCCTGGAGAAGAGAAGGCTCCGAGGAGACCTTATTGCAGCCTTCCAGTACTTAAAGGAGGCTTATAAGAAAGATGGGAACAGACTTTTTAACAGGGCCTGTAGCAATAGGACAAGGGGTAATGGTGTTAAACTAAGAGAGGGTAGATTTAGACTAGATATAAGGGAGAAATTTTTTACGATGAGAGTGGTGAAACACTGGAACAGGTTGCCCAGAGAGGTGGTAGATGCCCCATCCTTGGAAACATTCAAGGTCAGGCTGGACGGGGCTCTGAGCAACCTGGTCTAGTTGTAGATGTCCCTGCTCATTGCTGGGGGGTTGGACTAGATGACCTTTAAAGGTCCCTTCCAACCCAAACTATTCTATGATTTTATTCTATTGCAGACTTAAAAGCATCCAGGCAACAGCAAAACAAAGATTACGGTGAAGATTCTTCTTTCTATACATTGCAGCATCTTAAAGAAGCCTGGCAAATTTACATTAGTTTACATGCAGCGTTGTACCAAAGCCATTCTAGATTTTCCAAGCAAGAACACAAAGACTGATCATCACCAGGTACATACATATCATATCACACAGCATCCCTCAGTGGTCCCTCTAGCCAATTAACTAAAGCATCTGCAGGCTCCAGTGGGAGCTCGATCTAATCATCAGTTGGTAGCACAACAGTATGAACTGGAAATCTGAGGTTTGCTCTGCTAGGGCTTTTGAAATCCCCGAGAAATTTAACACGTTTCTTCCCAAACATGAACTCAACTAGTAATAAGATGTGATAAGATGAACCAAAAAAGCACAGCATCACTGAAATGAGTGATTTCTTTACCTCATTTACTCCTTTCATGCCTCAGGCTCACTCAGCTAGAAGTTTTAACAGTATCTTTCTCTCACGTCCTCCATCAGAACAGTAAAAATCAGTAAAACACCAAGACATCGACAGGAAAACTAGGGACAAACATGTTTCTTCACAAGAACAGATTATCACCCTGACCATTCTAACACTGGTCTTCCAGAGGTACTACAGAAATGTTAATTAAACCACAGGAGAGGGAAAAAGGAAAAAAAAATAATAAAAAAAAAATCAAGCTTCTGTCTTTTGTTTACAACTCAAGACGTATTACTTCATATTTTGCAAATGATTGGGTTTCCACCTAGGAGCAAGCGATTCATGGAAAAACAGCAAGCAGCAGCAGTTAGAGGAGAACTACAAGAATGGCATGTGTTTCAAAAAAGCACTTAACAGGCAGCAGAGAAGGCAATTTGGTTGCTGTTTTGTTTTTCAATCAGTAAAGGAGCAGGCTAGTTATCTTTTCCTTTGCTTTTCCATTTCAGTCCTAACCTAAGCCTCCCCCCCAGATTTTGACACAGAACATCTCGGAGTTATACAGTTATGGTCTGGAGCAGAGAAAAAGACTGGCTAGCTTGCAGCAGTTGACCACTGCCTTCTCCTGGCATTGGGCTCTAACATACTTACAGAAAGACATCCCCCCAGAGAATAAAACGTGGCTTTGTTACCGTGTGCTCTCCTGACAGAAAGGAAGCATGCCACAAAAGCAGCTGATTTAAAAAAAGCCGAGGACTGATCATCTAAGTCGCTAGAAAACAGCAGGAAGTTAAGCAGCGCTGCGCAGCATAGTGCAACTCAGAATAGCAACAGAGTCAGGCATCCAAAATGGAGCCTGACTGCTCTCTGTGCTACTGCAGCCTCACCAGCCGCCTGCAGGATTGTTTCAGGTTTGCATTCCTAAAAGCCTTTCCGTTTGGTTACTAAAGAGCTGCTGCAGCTTGATGGTGTGATGCTGGGAGCATCAAAAGCCATAAGGAAAGGAAAACAAAAACAACTAGTTCCATGACTACTGTCAGTAAGAAAGTCTTGTTTCCTACAACTTCCCTCTTCGGCTCACAATACAGTACAAGCCCTGGGTATACCTTTTCTGTAGTCCATGAATTTATAACATCTGTTTCTCCTATACAAATTTTCGCAAGTCTAACAAACTTGCACCGCACCCTTTCCCTGGGAGGGAACTCAAATAGCATCCTTCCTGTCCTGGGCACCTATTTATATATGTAAGTTCTCCCAGAGTTTATAATCTTTTCCTCATAGTGGCCAAGAAGCTCAAGATTTACAGGTGTAGGGACAGAAAGACGGCATGATTCATTTCCTTCAGAAACCTGGCTAAAAAATTCCCCATAAACTAAATGAAGCTGACTGACACTCCACAATTGGGCTGGTTTACCCTGCTTCACTTTTAGGAACCACAGAGCTTTGAAACAGGGCTAAATCATCACGAGATGGCACTGCCACATGCCAGTAGCCTTGCAGTAATTGCCCAGGAGCAAATTCTCACCCTGCAGTACTGCACAGTTAACACACAGTAATTTACCCCATTCTCTTTAGCACTAATGAAAGACAAGTCTCCTACATTTCTGATAGACACGGCAGCCTGATTTTAGATGCCAATATTATTGCTTGACAACAGATTTTAAAAACTGCTCATGAAGCTAACTGCGGGGGGGGGGGGAACATACTAAAATTCTCTTAATGCAACCACAGCCACCGTATACTACCATGATGTATTACACAACATACTTCAATTAAGTTAGCTCATTAGCCCAGCATTCCCTCTCAAGTCAGAAAATCCAACAGCAATTCTGAAGGCCACAAAACTTTCTCCATGGGGGGATACGCACAGTAATAATCTCAGAGGTGTGAATAAGCAGCAAGGGGTTCTGACATGCTCTCATTTCCATTTCAGACCTGCTCCCTCCTCTCCGCAATCACTGCAAGTCCAGGCATTTGGAGGCTGCGCTCACCCTCCCAGGGCCTTGGCTCCCCAGTATGCTGGCAGAGCTGCGTGGGAGGCCCTGTCATGAACAAGGTAATTGATCCAGCTGAAAAATAGCATGCTGCTTAAACAAATTTATAAATATTGTAAATATATATTCAATTTATAAATATATAGTCTTCCCTGCTCCAGCAGAATCATTTTACTGCACAAACAATTGAGCCAGTACAACAGACAAGAATGAAGTGGCACGGGGCAGCTGCAAGCAGCCTGGGACTCTTTAAGCTGATAGACACACCAAAAAAATATGTATGTCAGATATGGCTACAGTGTATTTGTTAAATGAGGAACAGAAACTTATTTTCCCCCTCTGTGAGTCCTGCTTAGACATTCCAGTGAGTCCCAGCTGATGCCGATCTTCATGCTAGTTTTTGCAGTACTTTCTCCTCTCCCTAGGGACCAGAGAGATTTGTACACAAATAGATTTGAGCCAAACACAGGTCCCAAAGAACTTGGCCTGTCACATGCAGTGGCTGTCTGCACTAGTATCTTTAAGTCACAGGACTTTTATGTAGGGAGATACCACCAAAACCTTGAAGTCCTTGTCCCTAACTCTTCCACAGGAACCCTTCCCCCATCTTTTGTCCTGGTGACAAACTACCGAAGGAACTCTGGTTTCAGAGCAACCAAACGTACTAAGTAACCCATCCCCTTGGCACGTTTTTCCACATGACGTAATCCTATGGCTCACCGTATTTCACATGACACCCCAGTCACATTAAAATGCACCCTGGATACTGTGCCTTACATCGTAAACCAGCCCGCAGTGGGACTGTCCACACTGCAAGTTTTGTGCAGCAAAATCAAAGATGAATGCGAGCACTGAATCACTTGACAAGGGCAGTACTGCAACCCCAGTAATTCTTCAGCTGTACTCCATCATAGGCCTGTATTATACTCATAAAGTAGTCCCTATAGGCCTCCTGTGCCTGATACTGCATGGATGCCTACAAGAGACAAGATAGATAAAATAAAAAAAGCAAACGAGGACACAGATAATAGTGACTTCTTTTTTTTTTTTCCAAATCACAAAGGTTCACAGAAGAAAAGAAGCTGACTGGCTAACTCTAAATATGCTTTTGACATTTAAACTGATAGCAAGTTTTAGGTTCAGATGACCACACATTGTGTCATACCTCAATTAGCACTACCTATTGGCAATAAGACTGTAAATTAAGCTGTAGCTAAGGTTTGTAAGATCTGTCAGAGCGGTGTAACTCTTATACCACAAGATTAACCTGGAAGGCTGCATGGAAGATTCCCTGTGTCTATCAGCAATCTTTTTTTAATTTGCCTTTTCCCCGCCCCTTTTTAAGGACAACCTAGAAAATTATTTTGAGAGGACTGGAAAAAACAGAGGAATATTAATAGATGATAGAGAACATTAAAAAAAATAATCAAAGGAATACTAAAATTGAGCTTGTTTGTATACACAGTTCTTGCATTTCACCAGCTTTGAAGTACACATAAGAACCAGTGTTTCCACACACCAGCACGACACTGCAGTAACTGCAATGCCAACACCATTACAAAACTGTTAACTTGAAAACAGAAAACTAGATAACTGTTTTAAGGAAACATTTAATAAAACATAAAGGCAAATTGCCTTTTTTTTTTTATTGTTCTTAAGGCTGGGTTACCTGACAGAGATGCACCACAAAAGAAACAAAAAGCTTCAATTTTTCTAATCGAAAGCCTGCAAGGTAAGCAGGATGTAAGGAGAGCACAGTAACACAAAGTAGTGAAGTTACTGATGTCTGTTTGAGAGATCCAAAGATACATGTTTGAACTTGCAGTGACCAGCTTCTGGATAAATATTTTGTTTGTACTTAAATGAATAGATTGTAGCATTATAAAGGAGTACATTAAAAAGCACGGAGAATGAGAATACAAGCATGGGAGAAATAACATTCAGTACAGAAGGTTGCTTACAAAATGAAACAGATTGTTCATTCTCTGAAAGATCTTATTACTAGCCGAAACTCAACACCTTGGCTCCGATGGGACAGAAATTAGTCCTCTCATACCCACGTGGAAGAAAAAAAAAAAAAAAAGCAGATACCAATTTCATTCTAACCACACATTAAGAAGTTAGAAAGGCAGAAAGCCTTAACTGTCCTAGCACTTCAGTATTCTCTATAGCTTTTCCTCCCTTCTCTGCAAGCTGTTTTGTTCGGCCACATCTCAATATGCTGCCTGCAATGGGATTTGCCTGTAGATACTTTCCTGGCTCGCTGTTCTAGCTGCAATTTCCATGATGTAATGCTTTGGTCATTCCTCCAACAACTTTTTTCATCAACCAAAATACAATAAAAGCTTACAAGAAAACCACAGTGCACGAAAAGAAGACAATGTCCTAAACCTTTTTCAGGTTGCACTATTTTCCTAAAATTTTTCCTCCCCTCATTTCCCCGAGTAGAACTCTGCTTTAGACTAAATTTAATTCAATGAATTGTTTCCCCACACATGCTAGATCTTCTAATTATCTGTCTTCAGAGCAGCTCTGAATTTTGTGCCAGTTCATAAATGTAATTAAAATGCTGTTTACTTCTTGGTTTAGATTAATGAAGACTATGTGTTGACTAATTTAACACCAACCAACTCCTGCAACAGCCTTCTAACCATTGTTTCCTCATTTAGCTCCTCCAGCATCTTATCGTTAACCTTTGTTTATAGCTAGTTCTTTGATCTGTTTTCAGCGGATAGAACAGTGCTCACTGCCAAGCCAATGTGAATTAACTTTGCAAGTAAAATTAATTCTCCCTAATAAATGCTTTAAGAAATCAGGTATTCTTCCCACTACATCCCTTCATTTCTTTTTTCAACCAAGAGTCTGATCCTGGAAGAGGAAAACAAAAGAAAAAATTGCATGCCACTAATTTAAAAAACAAGTAATTCTGCCAGAACCGCAAGTGAAGTACAGAATAAATCTGGTTAGTGATTGAATTTTTTTTAAATACTTATCCAAAATGATATCTGTCTTGCTCTCTTCTGAAAAATCTGAGGTTGTGTTTTTTTTTTTTTTTATATACTGTATATATGTGTACACATATTCTTCACTAAACAAAAAACCAAAACCCTAAACAAAACAACAACAAAAACAAAAACCAAGCAAAACAAACAAACAAAAAACCCACCCTGCTTCAATTTTTATTCTTTATATAATATTCTAATCTTTTCTGTTAAGAAGTATTACAATGAAATATTATACAATATGTCATTTTTAGAATTTAAATCCTTCCATCTTAATAAATATTAAGAGCAGAATATTTAATTTTCTAATTCTTTGGAGGAGAATGTCAAGATCATAAAGTTCTGAAAAGACAAATGGTACTTGAAAGTTTAAATATAAAGACCACCATTAACATCCTCTGGTATTAATAAGCAATTTGGGGGGGTGAAAATCAGGGAAAACATTTCCTGATCAAAGTCTCCATTCTTGCTTAGAGATTCAAGCCAGAGTGACTGGTTAACATGCACTGCATTTTCAAAGACTATATGAGAAAGTAAGAATATAAACAGCCTGGTTATAAACAAAATCAGTAGTTTCAGAAAATGCATTCTATTAAATTCCTTAATTCTTAACAGGTAACTTCTGTGAGCTTTATGCTCTTCCAGGCAAGACAGAAGAGCCAGAAACGAAGTTAGGCTTGGGCTATTTCTAGATATCCAAACCCAGCCAGAATAAATGCTTTTCCAAGAGATCCAATTCTTTCATTGTAGATTGAGGTTTTGCTATTCTCACTGAAAAGAGGTCAATGATTGACCAATATAATTTTAAACGCATTTAAATTTGATGGGACATTTTAAAGGCTCACAACTGGTTTGGCTTTTATTTTTCCTTCCAAGTTTGTCTTCTCTGTAGTCAGTTTTTTGAATATGACATGTTCTACCTATAGCAGAGTGAAGAAGTAAGAGCAGTTTCTAGAGGCTCAGATTTAAAAAAAAAACCAGCATTGTAATTTAAAATTAGACAGACAGTTCCTTTTTCAGACAGTGAAGTAATCAGCTGCATTTTGAAAAATACAGATCAGACATGGAAGCAGTGAGCACAGTGCATTTGAAATTGCTCAGTTTCCCCCAAACACCAAACCTGAGAATTCAGCTAGGTAATAAGTAAATGCTTGTCTCAATATTTGCTTAACCATTTTACTGCCATCATAAAATATAAAAGGCAGATTCAAAGAATATGATGGATGAAATCCAATCCAATCCCTAATAATATTATTTCTCTGACCTTTCAAAGCTGATGCCAGTTCTGCTAGTGAGATGAAGCTGATCAACTCATGCAAGTTTACATACAGAGCCAGAGTTTTTAAAATCTTAAAGATTAGTTTCCAAAACCTGTATCTAAACAGAACTGATCAGACCTGCAAAGCAAAACCAGCAGAAA